TTTGTCTTACCCTGCTCATGACCTTGTTTTTTCTTGTTCTCAGAAAGCTGGACTAAAGAGAGACGATTGATTTCGAAGATACCCACATTCATTCGTAAGAAGCTCAAGAGTTGTCATACTGACAACCCCATCCGATATACCAGGTGGAGGAATGGAAGCCTTATACTGAAAATCAGTGATAATGTACGGTATCTTCAAGCTGTACAAAACAGGGTGCGCAGATTGTTGTTGCGTGCTTTTTTAATTCCTCAATATACAGGAAATGTGCAGGTTTCGAGTTTCTTAGACAGTGCATGTGATAAGGTGCACATACTGCACTTCAATCTACGTGTCAAACTTTGCATAAAATATCACATTTAACTAGGTAACAAATGGGCTTGTCGTAGTGCATATTTTGCAGAACTTCTTTTCCATATGGTGTATGGATTGCTGTGAATGTAAATACTGTTGCAAGGCAATTGTAGGTACAGCTATAGTAGTGTTCAAACAGTTATTGATACTGCATGCATGTTAGGAGTGACACAATCAATGTTATAAAAAAAGAAACTGTGCAAGAACTCATCGCTTTATTAAGCAAGACATGTCTTGCACAGGTAGCAATCACAGAGCCGAACCATGAGACTAAACTAACTAGAAGAATAGGGAAGAGTAAGAATGGGTGGATATCATTTGGCAAGCATTTTCAAATCATGAATGATAATGTCACTAACCCTCAAGAGGAAGCTGCATTACAGCTGCGTCTGGCACGTACTTCTCTACGGAGTAGAAACCTGGAGGCTTACAAAGAACGTTGAGCTGGAATTGAAGACGACGCAGCGAGCAATGGAAAGGAAAACGATATGTGTAACCTTAAGACACAAGGAGAGAACAGAGTGGGTCAGAGAATAAATTGGCTTTAAGGATATCGTAATGGAAATCGAGAAGAATAAATGGACAAGGGCTGGGCACGTAGTACGCAGGCAGGCTAACTGACGGGTCATTATGGGTAACTGACTGTATTCACAGAGAATGAAAACGCACGAAGTGAAGACAGAAGGTTAGGTGGGCAGATGATAATAAAAAGTTTGTACGTTTAACGTTGCAGCAGAAAGCACAGGGAGGCGCTACGATCGCCAGTGGGAGCAAACGCATGTCACATCGGCTCCGTCGGTTTCTGAATGTTTCCGGGGGTTTTTCGAACTCTACCCTTGAAAGTAGCACACCATCTGAAAGATCATCGCGAACCCACGGATACCTGCTTTTTGGGTGAGCGTGAGCTTTACGAGCTTTAAGGCTCATAAACTGCAAGAACTAGACGAGTGAGCGTCTAGGCCTAACGGTGTTTGGGCCTGGCGCATACCGCGTCTAATTCGAAGACTGAAGTACAGCCGATATGGATGTAGACGAGACAGGGACAGGGGAAGCCATGGACCATAGAACTGAACAAACAAGAAGCGTTTCCACGAGTGAAGACGAAGACGCTGACAGCGTTGCAGATGGCTGGATTGAAGGTACACGAAAAAAAGGATGCACAAGCCAAAACAACGTGGTTAGACAAGAAGACGCCCGCTCACCAAGCCCAATGCGCCAAGGCCGCCGAAGCATTGTCAGCAAGGTTCTACGAGCAAGCAAGATGCCCAGACTGCCCAGGGACGATATTAGGGTAATTGTTCGACCGAGGGACGGGCTGAATATAAGGAGCCCGTGCGGTGCGAGTCTTGATGAGTCGATACGCAACGGAGCAGGAGTGGGCGACGACGAGATGTTCACGATCTGCCCCAACACCACGCAAAACATTTTGGTGATAAGCACACCGGAGGAAAGCACAGCGATGAAAATCACCAAGATGAAGGTTTTGACTATCAACGAAAAGAGCTACGAAACGAACGCATATGTTTCGGCGCCTGAGAATATGACAAAAGGAATCATATGCAATGTACCTCTGAAATATAGTCAAGATCAGCTCGTGGAAGCACTGGTGAACACAGTGAACACAAGTAACCCCTCTCTAAAGTGTGCGAAGAGGCTCGGTAGTACGACAAACGTGATACGGCTCTATGTAGGAAACCGAGTTCCTTCGTGGGTTTACATCAACAGCATTATGATAAGAGTATCTCTGTACCGGAAAAAGATAGACTTATGCAAGGAATGTGGCAGGCTCGGCCACAGACCTGACGTGTGCCCAAGACCGAGATATCAAACTGTGCCCGATTTGTGGATTAAAGAACCCCATCAATGGACACGAGTGTACGCCCCAGTGCCGAATATGTGGTGAGGCGCACCCCACGGCTGACCGAATGTGCAAGGCCAAATACACGGTGCCGCACATAGTGAAGCAGAGAAGATGAAAGGCCAGGTTCAGAGACTTTCAAGAGCGAACCCCGTCATCATCGAATAGCAATGCTGGTGCGGTGGAAGAAGGCCGCCGTGATCGTTCGAGATCCAGAACCCACTCCCAACTGATCATGGTTCGTTCAACCAGATCCGGATTCCCCTCGCCGGTAAAAACACGGAGCAAAAGTCGTAGTACGAGCAGAAGTTGGAGTCGGAGCAGAAGCCGCAGCGAGAACCGTCACCACCCCCAACAAGACATAAGAGGGGCCACACCTGGTGGTAAACAGAAAGGGCCGCGCAAAATCACTTGGCGTGACATGGGCAGCCGCTGCCAGGCCGTGGGCAGCCGCCAACCCCGGCCTGTCAGCGAGCATGGAGAACATGGAGAAAGAGACTAGGGAGCTTAGACAACAGTTGGCCAAGGCCAGAAAGCAGATTAAAAAATCAACACGGAAAATTCAGGAGCTACAACAGACACTGAACGAAATCCTCAAGGGAATGGGAGGACACGCCACAGAGACCCCATCCTCTGGCGCCTCCTCGTCTCATGGAGCTGCCCATGAACGCGACACAACTTCAGTGGTAGGAGACGGGGACACGGACATGGGCTGTGGAGGTGAATATGAAGCGCCGGCGGCGGTGGGCTTTAGGCGTAAGAGCCCAAGCGATTCTCAACATTTTGAAGGCGCTGAGTATCACATGCAAGAACCGAAGCGGGCACGACCGGCCGGCCGAAAGATAGACGTGATCAAAGAAATGGTAGACAAACTAACCAACCAGACAGAGCGACTGTTTGAGACGCTGCTCATTCGGCTGAACGAGTCTGACGCCGAAAGAAACGCACAGTATGCCGCGGTCAATAACCAACTTGCGGCCGTGAATAAGCGCATCGAATATCTGGAACGTGGGACAGCGCAGTTGCAGCAACAGGGACAAGGCCACGACGAATTGGGAGGGAACGCATCGACCATTCTCAACAGAAGCAACAATGTCAAAACCACCCACACTGAAAAAGGAGGGACGCACGAACAGTCGCGTTCCCCCAACGCCTTTGAATAGCAACCATGGCTGCGTTCCGCAAGTTGGTCGGCAAACGCACCGTCTGGCAATGGAACTGTAGGGGTTTCAAAAACAAAAAAGCTACAATGGTGCAATATATGAAAACTCTCTCGAAAAGCAAACTTCCTGACGTAATTGCTTTGCAAGAACCTTTCGATAGAGCTCAGCTACCAGGCTATGTGGCATGTGGCTCTCCGTGTGATTGCACGCGGAAGGACATCAAGGTGTGTACCCTAGTTAAGAGAGGGACGGCCTTTATCGACCATTCACTTGATATCAGCGAGGAGTCGGACATAGACCACAACCTTATTGAGGTCGTGCCCTGCATTGGAAACCGGAAGACTGGCCTATTCGTGCTTAACGTGTACAGCCCCCCTTCAAAAAGGGGCCTCACGCACAACTTTGGCGCCCTTTTTCGCGAAGCGATGGCGAAGGCCGCCTCCAGTCCCCTTTTGATCTGCGGAGACTTCAATGCACCGCACACGCAATGGGGATATGGAGCCGACTCGCCCAAAGGGGAGAGGCTAGCTGAACTGATGGACGAGCTTGGCCTGGTTTTACTCAATGAACTGGCATCGCACACCCTGATTGGACAGGGCGCGTGCCGCGACATGTCCCCTGATCTCTCCATTTGGTCAGACGCGGGCGTGATCACCTGGTCGAACACCTTTGAAGATCTGGGGAGCGACCACGGAGTCCTGTGCATGACGATGGGAGAGAATACAGGCAAAATGGACGGCTGCCAAAAAGCTAGAGTCGTGGACTGGGACAAGTTTTGAGAGCAAAGAGAACGAGAAAAGCAGGAAGGGCCAATCGAGGATATTGGGGAATGATGCAGGGAACTACTCGCGGACGTATAAAAAGCTACAAAAGAAATAGAATGCCCAGACAGGCGAAAAGAGCCTGAAGGTGGCGACAGGCCCTGCGGAAGCATCGACGGCAGCATTTCCGAGCCATTCAGGGTGGACAGCCGGCTTGCGCATCTAGTAGAGGCCAAGAAATCTATGCAGCGAAGAGCGAGTCAGCAGAAACTGAACAGAAAGATACGCATGAAGATTGTCGAGATCAACCGAGAGATTGAGGCCCACTACGTTTGACTGTGCGAACAGGAATGGCAGGAGCTGTGCGATACAATGGACGGAAACATGAGTGCAGGGCGCAAATGGAAGATCCTTAGGCACCTGCTGGATCCAACCAGCACGAGAACGGCGACTCGTGTCCAGATGGCCAAGCTGCGACACAAGTACAGAGACAACCCGCAGGCCTTCGTGGAGGAGATCATCCAGACGCACCTCACTCGCCCGGCAGGTGAGAGTCACATGGAACACTGTGGGGCTCGAAACGAGGAACTAGACACGGAATTTTCCATGCAGGAAATTAAAGCAGTCCTCCAGCTACTGAAGACTAAATTGGCGCCCGGTCCTGACAAGATCACCAACCGAATTCCGAGGAACCTGAATGATGACACCATCTAGAAGCTACGTCAGTATATCAACGCATACTGGAAGGAAGGCCGTATTCCACATGAATGGAAGACAGCGGATAACATACTAATACCCAAGCCAGGCTAACCGCTTGAGGTTCGAAATATGAGGCCGATATCTCTGACGTCCTGCGTCGGGAAAGTCATGGAGCATGCCTGCCTCAACAGGGTGACGACGATCCTCGAGAAGCGGGATGCCTTCGGCACTCACATCATCGGCTTCCGCAGAGGACTTTCGACGCAGAATGCTATGCTGCAAATCAAGGAACTGGTCATTAGGGCACCAAGCACGCACGTGCGCGCCCTGCTCGAGTTAGACCTGAAAAGCGCCTTCGATACAGTAAAACATGCTGCCATTTTGGACAAGATCAGCTAACTAGGTCTTGGTTCAAGGTTCCACCGGTACGTCAGCAGCTTCCTGATCGGACGCAAGGCGACGGTGAAGGTCGGCGGTGCCCCACAACGAACAGATGACATAGGGGGTGCGGGTACTCCACAGGGCTCGGTGTTCTCTCCCATGCTTTTCAACCTCATTATGATCAGACTACCAGACCGTCTCGACGCAACGGAGGGCATCAATCACACTATCTACGCAGACGACGTGACCGTGTGGACCACAGCGAGAATGAGCGTTGGTGAAACGCAAGAGAGAATCCAGCAGGCCGTGCGGGCCGTAGAGCAGCACCTCGAAGGCACGGGTCTCGTCTGCTCTCCCGATAAATCGGAAATACTCCTGCATAGACCACGCAAGAAAGGACCTCACCCGCAGGTTGTACTGGACGCCCGTCGCTTGGGCATCCACGTCATGACAAAGGAGGGGACCCAAATACCAACGGTGTCCGAAATACGAGTGTTCGGCCTGTGGATGGAAGAGAACAGTCCGAACTACGAGCTGGTAGCATGACTGCAAAATAAAGGGGCCGCCGCAACGCACCTTGTGCGTCAGGTAGCGAAAAAAATAAAAGGGCTAAAAGAACACAATGTGACGAAGTCAATACAGGCGTACGCGCTGAGCCACATAGCGTATGTCGCCAAACATGCCGACTGGAACAGAAGCGACACCGAGAAGCTGAACGCGGCGATTCCTCGAGCATTCAAGGTAGCCCTGGGTGTGCCCCAGTACACGGAAACCCGTAGGCTTCTGTAGCTGGGTGTGCACAACACCCTCGACAAGATATCAGAAGCGCAGAGGATCGCGCAGTTCGAGAGGTTGTCTGGCACAAGAACGGGAAGACGCATTCTCGATCTGCTCGGGATTCGATATCATGAGGCGCGTGAATAAGGAAGCATTGCTACCGGAAGTCAGGGACACCATACTGACAGAAAACATCCTCAGGAACACTCACCCCGTTCACGACTTCCAACGATGCAAATGCAGAGATGCAGCAATCCTAAAGGCGCATGGAAACCAAGAGGGTGTCTTCTTCGTCGATGCGGCCAGGTATCCACTGTCAGCTGGTGGCGGCGATGGGGGACGCTCGGAACCCCCGCCGCTACCCGTGAATGAGCGAGGCGAAGTCGAGGTGCTAACACTATCACCACTGCTACCGCTACGACAACAACGACTGCAGCGAAAGCGGCAACATCAACAGCGAGTCCGGTCAGTGGCGGCGGGACCTGCTTTCTCTATGGCGGACCTAGATACAAGAGGAAAGGTTCTGGTCACGGCATCAGCCCGGCTGCCATCATTCGAAGCTGCAGAAGAAATGGCCATAGCTTTAGCGGTACTCCACAGCGGTGCAACGACAGCCTGATTATTAGCGATTCTAAATCAGCGATTCGGAGCTATATTAAAGGCCGGGTGTCCGAGGAGGCGGCACGCATGCTTAACGCCAGAGCTGGGGACTTCGCGTGAAGCAAGACTGCTGACAAGGCCCTCAAGTTGTTTCCCGCTCACATGGGGGACAGTGGAACTATCAACAACAACAGCCGTAAAACTATCAGCAACAACGCCAAGAGCCAAAGAGTAACTGGCATCCCACCCAACCATAACGAGCGCGCCCCCCTCGTCGCGAGGCAACTTACCCGCCGCGACGCAGCCACCCAGGGAGCAGCCGCCACCGTGGTTGGGAGGAGCACCGGCCGAGGCACGGTGGTGGCCACAGGCACTGGCAATGCCGAAATTACCACCCCCACCACGTCCGTTGCTGCAGCAACTGAAGTTCGTGCAGAAGAGGCGCGACAACAGAGGTGTGCCGACTGCTATGGAGAAGAATTTCCTGCCAGGTACCACGACATGCTTGCGCTCTATAGGAAAGACCGGGAGAAAATCCGCAACCCCACGTGCACCTGGGCAGGTCGCAGGCGGTGAACCTGAGAAAGCTGCAGACGGGCACGTTCACCAACGCCTACCATCTGCACCGCTTATGGCCCACGCTGCACCCGTCGCCTGGCGGCTTGTGGTGCGTGCACGAACGGGCCGATATGGCACATATACTTTGGCGATGTGAAAGAGATGATGATAGGCCCCGAAAAATGATTACGTCAACTGAGGGACCCACCGAAATGGGGCAACTTGCTGAGCGATGGCAAGCCGCCATTCTCAGCGAGGCCCTCGAAGACCACGTGTTGGCCGTCCAGCGGGCCAAGGCCGTCGCCGAGGACCTCAAAAGATGTTCCTCGAACGATGTGTCTCTGGCAGCCTAGCCCCGGGCACAGCAACAACCGTTGAGCAAATCAAGTTTATTCAACTAAACTCAAAAAAGCACACAACCAAGTTGATTGGCCGATCATGGGAGATGCCTTTGCCCTGCAGTGTCTGTAATCAGGCTGATGATACACCAAAAACAAGCATTGACATGCACGCAAGCAGTGGGCCTCAGTGTTGAAGCGTATGTAAATATTTGTGCTTCGAAACATGTTTGTTTACATGTCAGAGTTAACGCATTCAAAATAATAAGTAATCAGTAATTTGCATTCGCTTGCATTTCTTCCACTGTGACTTCATGGCCATCATTCGTTGCTTGTTTAAGGGCTCCAGTTCAGCATTTAAAATCACATCTGCGGAGAAATGCTGCTGTTCGGTTGTTTTCCTCCTGTTGTAAATTCAGTTTGGCTTGTTTTTACAAAATTTTGTGATCAGTCTGGACACACTTGTCTGAGCAGCAACAAAAACAAGGGGCTCCCACATTCAATCAGCTATTGTGGATACCAATGTGTTCAAATTGTCGAGAAAATTTCCCCATTAGAAATACACAGGCCTGGGCGCTTTTACCTAACCGAGTTCAAATAACGGCCTTTTACTGTAGTATTATTTTTTCCGTGTAAACTACCTGACGCATGACAAGGAATTTTTAAAAGTATGGTAATTTTCAGCAGAACAATGACTGAGTGCACTGAGTAGGTATAATCAAAAATGACCAGTTCTTGTACCTGTTGATGATTCGACTGTCTGCTAACAGCTATTTCTTTGTTATTGCTGTGAAATATGTAGCCAAAAAGAATATTTTTGATGATACCCGTGTTAAGAGTGAGGGAGACAGGAAGTAGTGAAGAATAAAAATGTGAATTCAGCTTCTCACTTTGTCAATTGTTTGAGCAGTGTCTGTCATGACTATGCATCATTGGCACAAAAAACTCATTTAATTTTCTGTCAATGCAAAGCATAAAAACTTTGAAGGTCATTCAAGAAGTAAGGGTCATTTGGTTCCAAGGAAGTGAATATTCATAAGCAAGCGTTTTTATTGGTGGGCTTAGCTTAGCGAAAACCTACCTCACTTTTCAACAGAATCACTGCTAACTTTTTAGCACTTTTCGTACCGTCGCAGTAGTGTCTTTAATCAATCTGCATACAAGATCGCCGCTTGGCAACTGAACTTGTTGCGAATGGTGATCGTGAATTTCCCACTCTCTTCAAATCGTACCCCGAGCCACTGTTTCATGTGAAGGAAGAGGAAATTGTCGCATGGTGCTGGCACAGGACAGCAGGGTGAGCAATTAGTGTTCCCGACCAAAATATTTGATCTACCCATTGGTTCTGATTGTGGTGCAAGGATGCACGTTGTCATGTAGGAGGCCGATTCTAGATGATAATTTGTGACGTCAACAATGTTTATCGTACTTATTACTGTGGTGAGTGTTTCCCAGTATAAGTCAGCTGTAAGTGTCGCCCGCATTTTATCGCGGCTCATCGCGACTACGTCACCTTGGGATCAAGGGTGGTGATTCCTGCGGCACTGTGCGAACAATCCGTGCCACTTGTCCACACAGGTCATCAAGGCATTGTTGCCATGAATAAGTGCGCCAGAAGTAGTTACACGTGGTGGCCGGGTATCAACCATTACATCGAATCAACAGTTCATGGTTACCAGCCTTGCCAGTGCAACCACAGAGCCCCACCAAGCGCTCCTATACCAAAATGAAAACAAAAACAAGAAATGCCTTGGCACAACCTGCACATTAACTCTGCTGGACCTATAGAAGAATGTTCATTCGTGGTGGTTGTTGACGCGTACACCAAATGGCTGGAGGTAAAACAAGTTACCACAACGACATCGGTGGCTGTTATCTCCCCTCTGCGGTGATTGTTTGCAACGTTCGGACTACCACGCAAAGTTGTCTCCGACAACGGCACTTTGTTTGTGTCCACGGAGATTTTCAAGTTCTATAAAGACAATGGCGTCTCTTCTATTACGTTAGGTCCATACCACCCGGGGACCAACGCGTAAGCCGAGCGCTATGTGGCAGAGCTCGAACGCGCCCTCACTAAAGATTAGACTGGGAAAATGCAACGCTGCGTCGCGTGCTTTCTCTTCAGACAGCACAACACTGTTCAAAGCTTTACAGGAGAAACGCCGGCGAAACTAATGTTTGACCGAGCAATGCGAACCCAGCTCACAGCAATTGTCCCGAAGCCCTCGTCAAAAACATTGTTCGAGGAAGAAAAGCTCCAGCGTAGCAGGAGAATTGAAAGTGGGCAGCGCATATACGCCCGCCAGTTTAACAGAGGGCCTGGCTGGGTTCAAGCGACGGTGTTCAACCGCACAGGTTTGCGGTCAAGGCTTGTCGACATCGATGGAAAGGCCACACGCTGCCACCTTAATCAGCTACGTTGTCCAGCTAGTTTGTCAGGGGAAGCTTCGATTCAAGCAGGCACCCCAACAGCAGCTTCGTTTACTTAGCCTGGAATCTCGCACCGGATCAATCGGCACCGCCGCCGACCTGCACTGAACACAAAGGACACTCAGTGAACCGAAGCTCCTTTTACCCCAGAGCATCCACGCGACAACGGCGGCCCTCAAATTGCTTCCAGTCGACAATCTAAGCAGAGAGGAGATGTGTCCCAAACCGGAGCGACTAAAAAGCCACTAAAACACGCCCAAGTTACCAGACCTCTTTTTCGTGCTGTCCCTAGAAAATTCCGAGTGAGATGTCCCTAGCCCATAAACACGTGGCTCTACGCACTACGAGCGCTCTGCGCATTTGACCGTCGCTTTCAAAGTGGTGTGGCTCAAGTTAAGTAAGACTACGTTACCCGTGACGTTCGTAATATTGGGTTTGACCCACAGAGCCACGTAAGGCTGAACGTCATGGGCGAACAAGCGTGTACAGTTTACACTTGCCGTTCATTTTGGAAAGGGGTTCACTTCCTGTTGACTAGCACGCACTTATAAAGGTAGCAACTGCAGTTTAATGTTACGTAAGCACACCCGTGCTTTCCAGTTTCTGCTCATTCTCTGGCCTCATCTTATAGTTTTAGTAGAGCTAGGACACTTAGCTATCGTATATTCTACAATATTTACCGAAAATTATCACTATTTTTCTTTTTGAGCTGATAATTCTGAATGCTGCGAGTGTGCTCTGCCATTGTGCGACTGAGCACAATGGCGAAGCCGACTTGTAATGCCTTAGCTGTAAAACGGCAATTGCACTTTTACACGTTTTTACGCTTAAAGGGCGTTGCAT